CCTAGTGAATAACATATGCGTAAAGAGGTTAAGAATGAATGTCCTTTTAGTATTTAAAACAGTCAGTTATAACAGTATATCAGTCATTCAGTCATAGCCATCATATGTGGTACATCCTATAGCAAAACAGTACAGTAGGTCTTAACAAACCGAACAGTAACAAATTAAAAAATTTAAATTTCTAGATTTAGTTTGACGAGACAAATTAAAAAATTAATTTTTTTAAAAAAATTCAAAAAAAAAAGCCCAAAAATAGTAGTCTTTTTTTGGGCTTGTTTTAGCTTTTTTTCATTTTTTTTTAACTTTTTAAATTCATCTACACAAGACAAATAGAAATATATATATATATATATATATAATTTTGAGAAAAGCCACTAAAAACAAAAATAAAAATATTAATAAAAAAGATGAGACTTTTTCAAGAGTTTCCAAAGTGTAAAAATACAAAAATATCTCGAGTAAGTCTAGATTGGCTAGGCTTAAATCTCTACAATCCCATCCTTCAACAAATTTCATAATAAAAAATATATATTATAAAAATAAAATAGGTAAATTATAAATATATTCTCTGAAATTTATTTAAATTACAAATTATCTCTGTAGTTTTAAAAATTATAATCTGCTCTTAAAGTTTTTAATTTCATAACAAATAAGTCTTTTTATTAATAAATCATCAAGCTAATTAACAGTTTTAATGATGTTAAAATTTTATTTCAATTAATAATTCATATAATTTTATTATTATATAGGAGAACAGTTAGAAATTTTATTTTTTCAGTTAATTCTATTAAATAAAAAATTTTAACAGGGAGGTATTTGTAATTTTCCAAAATCATAAGGAACAATTTATATTTTAAGCAAACTTCAGAGGGTGTATTTGTAACTTATCCAAATAAAATTAAGTAAATTATATAGATATAATTGTACTAATATATAATATTTATAATTTCATATAAAATTAAATATAAATAGGGTATTTATTGATAATTCCCTTTCCATCTTCTTATGTTTCATTTAATTTAAATTATTTTTTTTATATTTTAATAAATTCTATGAGTGACATAATTACCAAAATATCCCTAATAATGATAGGATGAAGCACCAATTAATGTTCACAATGATAGTGTAAATGTTTCATAATATGAACATTCATATTGTTAATGAAAGCATTTACACTGTCAAATTTATTTATCTATTTATTTTATAAAATTACATATTCAATTGAGATTTTATTTGATAGATCTCGTTAATTAGGTTTGAAAAATATAAATTTCATTAACAAAAATATGTACAACAAAAGGTCTAAATTTCTAAAGTTTAATATATGAAAAATACAAAATAGTCCAAAATATTACACACCATGTTGCTAAGGGTTCAAAAAATATTTTTAAGGGTAAAATTATTTATAAAATACCTTAAATATGATAAATAAGATTTGGTAGATCAAATGTCCAAATAATAAAACTTATTAGAATATAAGAATATGTTATGAAATAATTGAAATAAAAGTATTTGAAAGAAAATTTCCTAATAAATTTCTCATCCTGATTTTTTTTAAAAATAAATTAAAATAAACAAGCTGAATCAACTAGTGCACATCCGTAGATGATAATGATGTGGTGCAATCAAGGGCGAGCTCATAAGAAGTATTATGAGGTCAATCTCATGTATACTTGCTCTCTTTTGTTTTTGCCAATTAAAAGTTCATTTACCATCAATTGAGCCTTAGAGTTGTAAATCCCACAATTCTATAATGGAGACTAATCTCTCAAATATAATAGGACCTCGACTACAAGCAGCCAATTTCAAACTTTTTCTCAAGAGTTGGTAAAAAAAAAAAATTATCACGAGTCTAAAATATTACAAGATTATATACCCTTAATAATATTTTATTATTTATTCATTATAAACACATGTTTTGAAAAAATAAAATAATTACTCAAAAAATATAAGAGGGTTGCATTTTAAGTGACTATTATATGGCACCTCTAATTATTTCCTAGACAATTTTATGTAAATTACCAAAATTGCCCTTATATAATAATTAAAAAATCTAATTAAGGAACAATTTTGGCACTTTTGTCAATTCTTTGAGTAATAATTTAAATGTCAAAGCAAAATAAGAAAGAACCCCAAAACTATGAGAAATGACATTGAATCTACAAAGAAAGTAAAATATAACTGATTTTCATTTACATAAACATTTAAATTATTTACAAATCTTGTAAGCACACTAAGCTCAAACCCTGCATAGACAGCTTGAACCCTAAGCAAATATCATGCATAGAATAATATTTATTTCCGAATTTCACCCGTTGGCAATGATTTTTTTTTATATTATTATTTTAAAGCACAAATTTCTGCAAATTTCAATAACAGTAAGCATTTACAAGAAACTCTAATAAAATAAAATGTTACATTGTGGATACCCAAACAGATGATGAAAGTAAATAAATTTCTCTAATTTTGAAGTTAAGCTAATGAAAAGTGCATTCTTTCAACCTGTTGTCAGAAGTAACTGTTAAAATTCGCACAACACTACGGGGATACTTGTAGTCAAGAACTAACCACACCATGATTAGTTAAAAACTTAGAAAATGCAACTCGAGAGATCTTTCGGAAGTAATTTAATTGCCTTTCCAACCTATGTATCATACAAGTGAATTGGGGGCTTTCAAGCTATTTGTCAAAAAGTACAAGAGAAAATATATGAATCAGCTTGTGGCAATAGCATGGGCTCTTGATCCAAATATTTGCAGCTTCATCTCAAAATAGAGTTCTCAAGGGTCTCACATTCCTTTTGTTTTCCTTGACAGAATTTGAGTCTTTTAGCAAAAATCCATCCCCGCTATTCTGATTCAATATTATCTAAACCCGTCTCTCCGGATGTGCAACTTCTGAGCCATTCAAATTCTCCTGCAAGATCGAACTCACATAAGCTCCAGTGGTAGAGGGCAAATTCAGCAGAAAGGACTTTTACAGGCAAAATGATCCATAGTAAAGATGCTGACTGGGTCTTCCAGGTCAGATTAGCCACCAAAGCATCTTAAGTTATTTATATAATTATATTTCATCTAATTCAATTACAGTCCAACATAAACCAATCTACACTAACAAAATATCAAACAAAAATTCGGATTTTCCGTGGCTCCCACCTCTACAACCTCCCTGTCTCACTTCACTCATTTGAGAGCTAGCGAGACATTACCCATCAATAGTGAGCTTTGTGAAGAGTTAAGTGTTGGGTAGTGTGGATCCTAATTAGTATCTAATCACTCAACTTAACTGCATAGTAAGGGTATTTTTGGTATTTCCTCAAGTGACCTGTAACCCTAATACTACCTAAATGTAGTTAGGGGGGTGACTATCTCTGTGTCTTGTTTTGTAACTCTTTCTAACCATAGTGAAATAGCAGGGACTGTTGACGTAGCCCTATGGTGAACCACGTAAATCTTGTGTGCATGTAATTTATGATTATTGTTTATTGTTGTTCTCTCCTTTTCGTGTCTCACAATTCCTAGTTAGGTGTCCTGCAAATCCTAGCATTAAAAACTACCATCCTCCAGGTAAACAGCTCATGACACCTTTGGTTAGAGTTTCAGAAACACAAGTGTTGCTGAACTGTCTTAAACAAGGGCCCTCCAAATAAAACCAAAAAAAAAGTAGCAACAGCCAAAACTAAGAAATAAAAAAGAATTCTACAAGATAGAAAGTACCATCAATGCAACATTCTCAACCCTAAGTTTCTCTGAATCTTCCATTAATTGTTTCATTTCAGATTTAAGGGTTATGTTTTCCACTTTCACGATTTCATATCTCTTCATCAGTTCCTCAGTTTCAGCCTGAAAAGAAAAATCAGATTGAACTAATAACATTCAATTGGGAAGCTGAGTTACAAAGGTGAAAACTAAAAGAATAAAAGAAATTATAACTTAAATTCTATATACCTGCTTTCTTAACCTAGACCTCCTAGCAGATTGTTTGTTAGCGTGTTTCCTCTTCTCTCGTTTCAGTTGCCGCTCATCCTGAAGAAACAGACACAAAGCAAATAACAGTTTGAAAATAATATTGCACCTCTGCTATATTCAGCAAGCTGTTTTATATGGAAATGTTCAAACTCAAAGTCCCCTCAAATATCTTTACAATGTTATAAGCATGGCTTTAGAAAGCTGCACTATTAACTAGGTCTTAATACAAGCAATCTCTCAGCTAATTTTGGCTATTGAATTCAAAATTTTCCGTATTCCCTTACCACTCCTGTGGTTCATGCATTGTAGAACTATTTTAAGAGAAGGGCAAGAAAAGAAATGTTTCTTGCATCTATGGACAACCTGAAACATGTTAGTTCAAAGCATGACAAGTAATATCAACTACAGATGAAACATACTATCCTACTTTTTTCCAGTCTTCACAAGGCAACCCTGCAGCTGTAGTAGAAGCAACACAAGTTGCTCTGTTTTCTGTTTTCCAATTGGGAGTCTACTAGTTTTCCTGCAACATCTTCAGGAGCCACATTAATCCTCGAAATCCACCTGGAAGTTACATTGGCATCCTTTTCAGGTACAGACCTGGCCTGTTTATGGACTTTTACTTTGTTGTCTGTTTAAGAAACAACAAATAGCAAACAATAAGTTTGGAGACACAATTAGACAGTTTCTCTACTATCTTGGAGTGTAAACAAAGCTCCTATTCCATCATTATGTTCCAACACCAATATAAAGGCAACATAAGCCCAAGATTTTTATTCCAGAAGGCTGGCCCCTAAAAGCACCATCTCCTTTCAAGACTAATTGGTTGTGCAGTCCAAGGTGCCTTCCATATTATTATCAGAATAAAATATATTCAAGGACTTAATCGTACCAGTGGATAGCTTGCCCATTGAATCACTTTTCCTCAGACTTTGCTGTGCCTGAAAGATAAGAGAACAATAGTTTCTCGTAACTCCACATTTAACGTCTTGTAGCTCCATTTGGTAGAGGAATGGATAACTGGAAAGAAGTTGCATGAAGGATGGTTGAAAAAAGAAAGGGAAGCCTTTCTTCCATTTGTCTAGTTGAGACAGAATGGATGAGAAAGGCAAGGGGTCTGTCTTTTTTTACTTTCCCACCCTTATGTATTACTATGAACGTGTCGTTGGAAGAGACAAATGCAAAAAAGAAAGGTATCATTATTTCAGATTTAAGGGTTATGTTTTCCACTTTCACGGTTTCATATCTCTTCATCAGTTCCTCAGTTTCAGCCTGAAAAGAAAAATCAGATTGAACTAATAACATTCAATTGGGAAGCTGAGTTACAAAGGTGAAAACTAAAAGAATAAAAGAAATTATAACTTAAATTCTATATGCCTGCTTTCTTAACCTAGACCTCCTAGCAGATTGTTTGTTAGCGTGTTTCCTCTTCTCTCGTTTCAGTTGCCGCTCATCCTGAAGAAACAGACACAATGCAAATAAGAGTTTGAAAATAATATTGCACCTCTGCTATACTCTGCAAGCTGTTCTATATGGAAATGTTCGAACTCAAAGTCCCCACAAATATCTTTACAATGTTATAAACATAGCTTTAGAAAGCTGCACTATTAACTAGGTCTTAATACAGGCAATCTCTCAGCTAATTTTGGCTATTGAATTCAAAATTTTCCGTGTTCCCTTACCACTCCTGTGGTTCATGCATTGTAGAACTATTTTAAGAGAAGGGCAAGAAAAGAAATGTTTCTTGCATCTATGGACAACCTGAAACATGTTAGTTCAAAGCATGACAAGTAATATCAACTACAGATGAAACATACTATCCTACTTTTTTCCAGTCTTCACAAGGCAACCCTGCAGCTGTAGTAGAAGCAACACAAGTTGCTCTGTTTTCTGTTTTCCAATTGGGAGTCTACTAGTTTTCCTGCAACATCTTCAGGAGCCACATTAATCCTCGAAATCCACCTGGAAGTTACATTGGCATCCTCTTCAGGTACAGACTTGGCCTGTTTATGGACTTTTACTTTGTTGTCTGTTTAAGAAACAATAAATAGCAAACAATAAGTTTGGAGACACAATTAGACAGTTTCTCTACTATCTTGGAGTGTAAACAAAGCTCCGATTCCATTATTATGTTCCAACACCAATATAAAGGCAACATAAGCCCAAGATTTTTATTCCAGAAGGCTGGCCCCTAAAAGCACCATCTCCTTTCAAGACTAATTGGTTGTGCAGTCCAAGGTGCCTTCCATATTATTATCAGAATAAAATATATTCAAGGACTTAATCGTACCAGTGGATAGCTTGCCCATTGAATCACTTTTCCTCAGACTTTGCTGTGCCTGAAAGATAAGAGAACAATAGTTTCTCGTAACTCCACATTTAACGTCTTGTAGCTCCATTTGGTAGAGGAATGGATAACTGGAAAGAAGTTGCATGAAGGATGGTTGAAAAAAGAAAGGAAAGTCTTTCTTCCATTTGTCTAGTTGAGACAGAATGGACGAGAAAGGCAAGGGGTCTGTCTTTTTTTACTTTTCCACCCTTATGTATTACTATGAACGTGTCGTTGGAAGAGACAAATGCAAAAAAGAAAGGTATCATTGTCTACTTTTCTTCGCTCAATTTTTGATAGATTGAAAATGGTGAGCCGGGGCGGATATGCTCTCTTGCCATGTTTGCACTCCCTTCCCCCTTCCTTCCAACTAAACAAAGAATCTGTCTCCATTAAGGGAGGAAGGCATGTTGTCTTTCACCTATGTTACCAAAAAACGCTAATATCCTAGCGAATTACGTATTCGTACGCATGTTCTGAAACATGGTATACTTCTATTCTAAAACGGTAAATTTAGTGATCCAAAGTGATCCCAAATTTTTTTTTTCAATATATGTCCTTAAATGTTGCCTTAGGAGGAAAAAAATCAAATATAATGAACTAAAATCTAAGGTGAGTTAAGTTTTGATAAGATAAAAAATCAAAAAAGGGCGGTGCTTCAGACCCCCACTGGGGGTCAACCCCCAGTGACGTGGCGCACTAGGGTTGGCCGAAAATAAAAAAAATAAAAAAAACAGTTTTTTTTTTTTGCCAATAGGAGCCGACCCCCAGCACCCCCAGTTGGGGGTCTAAGTCATTTTTGATAAAAAAAAATGGGTTATAATACTCAAAGAAAATATTACATTTTATTGGATGTCTAATAATTAAAAAAAAATTACTCTAGAAATACCTTAAATTCTTAAGTATAATATATACAAGTCTACCTCTATCGTACCACATTTTAGAACATGTGACGTACCATGTTCATGTTCCCGTTCCCATTCCAGTCTCACATATCGGAACGATCCACGTTCCAGGTAACATAGATCTTCCACGTGTTGGTTTGGTTTAGCAGGAAAGAAATAAAAGTTAAAGTTAATGGTGTTACTTTATTTTACCATTATATTGACATGAAGATGTTTGTATGGCAATGATATGAAAGTAAAACACATCCTTCTTTCTTCTTCTCTACTCACTTTTGGGCAGATTGAAAATGGTGAGACACTAGAGATTTGCCTACACTTCACTACTCCTTTCCCTTCCCCTTCCCCTTCCCCTTTCCCCTTCCCGCTAAATGGAGGAAACTATCTCTGTTCGCTTCATTTATTTCATTGCGCATTAAGGAAAGGAAAGGGGAAGCTTAGGGATGTTCGTTCATTTTACCATCATAATGTCAAATATTGATAACATGGTTTTTGAATGACAAAAAACAAAAAAGTAAGAGATAATCTTCTCATTTGTTCATCTCCTTCCACTTCTAGGTAAAATGAAAAATGGTAGCCAGGATAGACTTGCTCACCTTCAAGTTTTCCTTTTTCCTTCCCCTTCAGTTTCTACAAAACTAACAATACTCCTTTATCCTTTCCACTGTTCTCCTCCTAATGTTCCCTCATATCAAACAAAGCCCAATGACAAAAAGAACTTAAAATATAAAATAAGACAGAATCCTTACTCGTGTGTTACCATCACTTGCATCACTGGAAACATCAATACTGCATTCTACCATGCACATGTCAGATCCAGAAGTCTAGGTTAGATCCAACAGAGCAATGATTAAAACAGGACTCGTCCAACTGAGATACTAACTTAAAGCATTAAATGGAGCATGATTTCAACTCATGCACCAAGGGCACTGGAAGCTAACTTATCTGCCTCACCTAGTTTGCTCCCAGGAAATAATTAAGCAAATAGAAAAGCAACATTGGTTTAACAGACCTCTGTGATGCTCCATGGGCTGATCCTTCACCATCAACCTCAGCATTGTCATTAACTACTTGCTTAGTAACTCCGTCCAATCTTTTCAGCTTCTTTATTGAGCCTTGATCCATGTTGTATGATGAAGTAGAAAGCATTTGTGCGCTCACAGGAGTTGCAATCTGCATGACAGTCTCCGAAGTAAGACTTTATGGCTGTAGAGCAAACTGCTACTTCAAGTTAATCATCCTAGCCCAAAAAATTCATAAATCATCACACTTCTAAGCTACGAGAATGTTGTGCAGATTTCACCTCTAAAGATTTTATGGACAGATTAATGGGATATTGGGAATATTGCAAGCATGGAGTAAAAAATTTCTGCAACAGAACAAGCTACTTTAAAGGATGAATCTGACTAGAGGAACTGTTTCCCATATCAGCAAGAGGAAGAGGGATGCAATGTGGTGATGTAAGTGTCATCGCACTAATAGTTTGAAAAGTAAAAAAATTTCAACAATTGTTGGAAACTAAGTCGCACCAATCATAGTTGTTGATGAATTTTGAATGGTATAAGTTTCTTGCTTCTATAAAGTAGAGAAGGTACTCTAGAACTATTTCATGTTTACAATTCACTCGGATTTAAAACAACCTACAAACAGAAGTTTGCAAGTGGGGAACCGAAGTTCTAAAGGAAAAGCATGACTTACAATAGGAACTGTACGATGAGTACAAACAACTCCAGGAGAATAGATGGCAGAGTAAGGCACCCCATACGGTGGCATCACATGCTGCAGTAGTTATATGTCAAATAGAGAATAAGTTCAACAAATATTGCATTTGGAACACAGCTCCAAGCTAGGCATACAGAAATGCCATGTGCAGAAGATGACTATAGAAACTCAGATAACTCCAGAGTACTTGTGGTGGTGCCCACACATGAGGATGAGGAACATGACAAGCCATGACTGCAGAGTTCAAATATGATGGTGGTATGGGTACTCCAGGCCCATAATATGCCTGAAAGTGAATCAAATTATTAAATTGCTAGTAAATTAAGAAAATTGGCAAAAACGAAATTTTCTGAACCTAAGGTTCAACTAAAGTAATTGCCGTGCAAGAAAGGAAGATGCTCCATAAAGGGAATAACCTGAATAGTTGCCTAGTCGGTATAGAGATGAATGTTTGTCTGGTCCTGCTAATGCCAATGGGTGGTCCAATTTCAAATCTTGAACTCCAAGAGTTAATCCGCCAAAGAAATAATGCAATAGACCTCTGTCTCTCATGCAGGCACACATCCATGTATCTATGTTGGATTAAATTGTACATAAACAGTAGTACTGTTTGCTTATTACAATCATAATTCATAAACTATTTGTACATGTATTTAACAAAAATGAGAAAAATCATTCATTTGTTGTTGATAAAGACATATAATCCCACAACAAAAACATATCAAGAACACATAACCTGTTTAGGTGGAGATGCTTTTCTGATTTTGGACATGGTTTTTCAGATTTTGGAGATATCATGTCTTCACTTCTTCCCATGTAATATAAAAGTAGATGGCAAAAGGGAAAATAAAACTGCAAAAAAAAAACAAAAAGAAAAAAAATCTGGAGTGAAGAAAAAGAAGAAAGAATACAGCAAAAAATACATCAACCTAGCTTTGGTGACAGCTTCCTAATCAGGTCAGACAATTTTCTTTCCCTTTTTCCTTTGGTTCTTTCTAATCAATCACTGAACATGCCAAAAATGAAATTGTTCACAGTTGCTCATGTAGTGTCCAAGAGCACAAAAAATGTAAGAAGACGAGAAATATGACTACAAACGAATTCTTAGACTTGTCGGAGGTTTTTGGAATTAAAGCTAAAAGTATAAATTCCTAACATAAAGATGATACAACCTAACTTAAAAAGGGAAGAAGAGCATAGGAATGGAGAAGGCTAAAAACATAACAAAGAGTGATGCCACTTGTGTTGAGATTGTTTGGGAACAACCTAAAATAGCATACTTATTGTTTTTTTATCTTATTTGGGTCGCATCACCTCTTATTTGGGTTACATCACCTCTCTACTTTTTTGCACATATTTTCATAAAAAGCAAAAGGTTACTAAAATCGACTATTTCCAAACAAAAATGTAAAGAGAGCATAACCCCTTAAACTTAAGATTTGTACTCAATGCACAGATTTTTTATCACAACCATCAGGTCAACTATGTTATAGAACAAAGTGATTGCTACCAATAAATATGAAATGAATGCGCTCTCCAGGTGGCACCAGTTGGTAGTTAAATGATGGAAAGTTGTCTAATATGGTTGGTCATTCAAAACAAAGACTAATGGATGCACCAGTTCGAAGAAAATTCAATTCAAGTTGATGATGCTTAATGAGCAAGAATACTGCTGAATGAATTGCCACTCGAAGCCAAAAATGATGTATGGCAAAGAGACAATTAGATATTGATCCTAAGTAGTTGAATTCAAGACTTATTGAGTTCAATTACTTATAAGAAAACTAAATATAGTGTAAAATATTAATATTTTTGATCATCCAAACTCCATCATACTGGCTTCATTGTCCACTTCTGTTTCTCCACAACTATTTATGAGGCTCTCTAAACCCCTAAACACACCCCCCAAAACACAAATTAAAATCAAGAATAAATTCCATTCCTAAAAATCTCATAGGGATCTGAACAACACCCACCCTCCTACCACAAGGCACTTTGTCCAGAAATAACAAATAAACAAAAAATTCACTCCTAAAACAGTAAAACATCCGAGAGAAACTACAACAACAATTAGATTCAAACTAGTCTTAAGGGCTCCGTAAAGTGTATCGTTATGTATACTTAAGGGGCCATATAGAGGTATATCCCAAAACGGTAGTTCCTCATCTTTCTATTTGACAGGGCAACATGGGTTGGAGGGACTCCTAAAATCAGCTAGATTCAACTAAGCATGGCTTTTATAATAATGGCACAATCATTCCATGAGAATGAATATTGTACAAGTGGGGTGGAAGACTATTGACCTCAACGAGGAGGCAGGGATTAGTGCCCTATTTTTGTTTTGTTGAAGAGAGGAAAGGGCATTCAACAATATATATATATATATATATATATATGTTTATCACTTCATGAGTTGAAATGGTTGAGAGAGGCATCGTCTCGAGAGGATGGGGAAAATTTCCGATTGGTGGAGGTTGGAAGCCCTAGAAAAAAGGGGCTAGTTCTTTAATATTGAGGTGAGAAGACAAGTAAAAAGCTTGGTGCACATTCCAGAAGCATAAGGGAGGATGTTTAGAGTGAATTAGCCCAGGTTTCCTAAAACTTTTTGTGTTGATGAGTGTTGGTTTCAAAGAAGGGAAATCCTTGGAAGTGGCCATAATTTCTCAATGGCCAAAGAACTCCATCACGGTGATCCAACAACGGAAGGATAAAAATTGTGACATCGAGTTGCAATAATTGGGTATTTTAGCAAAAAAAAAAAATGCAGGGGATTTTGTGTGTTGTAACAGTTTCCATCTGTGGAGATGATTATCTACATCAAATTGTAAATGTTATCTTATTGGGGGTGAATTTATTCTCATAGCTTTTGTTTTTTAGGTTGTGTGGATTCTGTCTGTAGTTGTTGGGACAATAACTGCCAATTTTGAGTAGAAGATGGTGGATTAGCTTGTTTGGTTGCATTAGGAGATGAGCTTATACTCTGGTGTAAAGATTTTCCAATCTTGATAATTTGTCCTAAAAATTAAAAATAAAAAAATTTCAAACTTTTAAGTGTTTCAACGAGAATGTATGTAGTAGTTCCACTTTTATTACTTTTCCATCATATATGCAACTTTATAACTAAAAAAACTCAGTTTTCAACACACACACACAAAAACAAAACAGAAATTACAAAGATTACAACTTCCTACTTAATCAAGCATCAAGATCAAAATAACGAGTTTGAATCATCGAAATACATAACAAACCAAAAGAAGATACACTAAAAATCAAAACGCAACTTCAACGTACCTCTATATATCAGAAAAACAATCCGTGGAACTCGAAAGAAAAACCCTAACCCTAGCTTGTCGTTCTCAGCATTGTCTTTTTTTCTGGTTCTAGCAAGCAATCACTCTCAAGAATCAGAGAGAGAGAAGGCACATGCCACGTCAGGTGACATGTGTTGGTGTTGCATGAGGGAGGAAGAGAGAGAACCGGAGCTGAGCTTTAGATAGGTTTTTTTTTACTGAAGGTGGGGAGAGGGAAAAATGCTAGGGACCATGTTTCCTACCAGTTGTTTGGTATAGATTAAATAAGTATATTTTTTTAATTTTTTTGAAAAATATGTAAAAAATTAAAAGAGTGATGTGATTTAAAAAAATAAAAAAATATAATTATATATAAACCTCAAACAAAACTTTATTATTAAATGAAAAATTAAAAGAGTGTTGTGATTTAAAAAAATAAAAATATATAATTATATATAACCCTCAAACAAAACTTTATTATCAAATGTTTTATATGTGAAATGTCATGCCCTAAAAAAAAACAACATTTAACCCATCAATAAAGACATGCATTAATATGTAAAAGTTCAATATTCTTTCATTTATCAGAATTTCATTACAAAAAGTATTACATGTTAACGACAAAAGCAAATGCCCTAAAGGCTTACAGCTTTCCAAGTTAACACTTGGTTACAACAAAAGAGTACTAACTCATTTACACATTAAGCCCTTGGCTTGAATTTACATGTAATACATCAAAAATAAAACGACAAAAGTGTGTCCGCCTCTAGCCTCCCAAGCTATGTCCTTGGAGGTGGCATGCTACCTGTACCTGAAAATGATATTCCCATATAGGGTGAGCCACAGCCCAGTAGAAACATACTAAACCAAACATGAACAATGTCTAAAAGATTAGCAGTTGATAGATGGCCAACACTGATACTTTCCCTTATCACACTTTACGGTTTCATGACATACAAGTCCATGTTACAATCCATTTTCCAATTCTTTTCAATTCTCAATTTATAACCATGGCTCAGAACCTGGCCAAACAACTTATATGAGACAGTAACTCATATTAAACACTTTCCCATTTCATAATAGATAAACATACTAGCTATATCACACACACCAACAGATAAGCATACCAACTATATCATCACTTCCATAGATATGCATAAGAGCACTATCACACTTCCAAAGACAAGCATATGAGCTCTGTCAACACATTACTAGATAAGCATATGAGCTCTATCTATGAACACTACTAGAAAAAACACTTTCCGTGACGAACATGTTTGGTCGCGAAAAGTACCATATTTGGTCGCTAAAACCTTTTCGCTCTCACAATTAATTATCCCAATTAATCAAACAATGTAATTAGGTCATTTTTCATAATTAACATTTCAACCCTTAGGTCCCATTTTCATCCATGATTCAACATTTATTTCCATTTCTCTATGCCAAACATACATCTAGGTTTATTATAAATAAAATCCCAACTTTTGTTAAAAAATACCACAAAAGCCCCAAACCCTCACAAAATTACCAAACCAACCCCAACATCTCAAAATACTAAAATTTAAAAACAAAATCCATAGAAAGGAGTAGGATATCCCTACCTCAAATTCGGAGCTCCAAGGGAGAAGATGACAAAACCCAACGTGCTCCAAATCCTGAAATTTTCAGATTAAAAGGTAGCCCTCGACGATCAACAACTTTTTTGTAAAGGCCAAAGATGAGCAAATCACTCCTACTAGATCAAAACCTAGAGAGAAGGTAGAGTTCTAGAGTGAGAGGCTCAACAATGGTGTTTTTGGAAAAGTAGGAGAGAGAAGAGAAAGTGAAAAAGTGATTTGAAAAGTCAAAACTCGGAACTTAAATCCAGTCTCCCCGCTCGAGCGTCAAACACCCCGCTCGAGCGTCACTCACAGACTCCCGCTCGAGCGTCAACCATCCCGCTCGAGCGGAGGATGCACACTCCCAGAACTTTTACAGAACCAGGTCTCCGCTCGAGCTTCCAACTCCCCGCTCGAGCGGCACTCACACAACTCCGCTCGAGCGGCCAACACCACGCTCAAGCGTCCAACACAACACAAGAAATACTGGATGGGTGAAATTCCCGCTCGAGCGCCAAAACCCCCGCTCGAGCGGACAAGTCAAAATCTGGGCTACTAGTTTTGGTTTTTAAACTCAACTAACCTGTAACAAACCTGCCCAACACATCCCATAACTCAAATACAAAGTAAAAAAGATGTAAACAAAATAATAAACAACTACCAACATCCACAGACACATGTCCGGATCACTGTACAACAAGGGTAAACCCGGGATCGCTATATGAAACTTGAGTCTCACATTTCCAGTTAAATATTTGATAAAATATTAGTAAAATATTTGATCCTGGCATTATGCGAGAGAAAGTTGAGTTGGTGGTTGTTATTGTGATGTGGCGCTTCTGCCGATTGATTTTATTGACGATTTGGTGTGTCTATTTGAACTAAGGGTTGGTTTGGGGTGTCTTAAAAAAGTGTATTTTTTATCTTTTTATGAAAAGATACGCAGAAAAGTAGAGAGGTGATGTGATGGAAAAAAAATAAAAAGATAAAAAGATGGATTATATAGGTTATGCCAAACTAGGCCTAAAATAGTCATAAAAAATAAAATTAATTATTTTAGTTAAATAAAATAAAATATTATATTTAAATTATAATTATTTTATTTTTTTCCTTGTAAAAATTAAAAAAATCAAAAAAATTATTTCAAAAGAAATTTTTAATTCTAAATTAAAATAATCAAAAAAAATTTTAAAAACAAAAAAATCAATTCATCCTTTCTCTTTTGCGGTACATGTGGCGCTTCTGCAAGCGGCCTAGTGTTACTGCCCTGCCAGCTGGCCGCCAGCTAATGTACTCCCCGTCATGGACTTTTGTTGACTTATTTATTGAGACCAAAAAAAATATTTGTTAAAAATTCTAAATAAATTATTTAATATTTTAGATAATAATTTAAGATTTCATTTGAAAATAAGTTATTTTTTTAATTTTTATGAAAAAATATATATATAAAAAAAATAAAAAGAATCATGTGATAATTTATAGGAAAATGTTTTGTAGCTTGAAACATTTTCTCCCGAATGGCCTGATTTTCGAAAACGACGTTGTTTTGATTTTAATTATTTTTTTTTCTTTCCCTTCTATTTCTCGTTTCTCTCTCAAAGGTTGAACCAAACCCAGAGAGAAAGAGAGAAATAAAGAAGGAAGAAGAGAGGAAGAGGATGAGGAAGAGAAGAAGACGGTGATGGCAGTGATGGCGGAGAAGGAAGATGTTGATGGCGATGATGATGTGTTGATGGTGATGATGTTGCTGTTGATGAAGATGTTCGCCGATAATGATGTGTTGATGGTGATGATGTTGACGAAGATGTTGTTGATTATTATTATTTCAATTTTTTTTTTTTGAAAATCAACAAAACAGATCAGATCAGATCTGTTTAACAAGTTGATTATAATTTTTCTTTTAACTTCATCTCACATAAACAAATCGGATCTGTTTAACATAAATCTGTTCAACATACTTTTTTTTCCCTAAATCAGATCTGTACATCATCTTGTTGATCTGTTCATTATCTTGCTTCAATTTTATGGTGAGTTTGGTAATTTTTAGAGAGAGAAAATAAAGGAAGAAGATGAAGGAGGTTCTGGTTCTGTTTGTTAGAGTGAGTTCTCAAATGTTGAGAGAAAAGAGAGGAACGAAGGAAGATAAAAGAATTTTTTTTTTTTTAAAACGATGTTGTTTTTTATATTCAAGCCATTCGAGGTAGCCAAATTTCGAGTTACCCAGCAGAACCATAATTTATAACGACTTTTTAATTTTTTACTAAAATATTTAGGCCCCGTTTGTTTGGGGTTATAGGGAGGGGATTGAGATTGATAATGAGGTGGCACTACTATATGGGGTATTTGTTTTGAGAGGTGGGGAGGGGACTAGTAATCCCTTGATATTAGTAAAGGCCTTGGAAAGGGGATTAGTAAGTAGGAGGTAAAGATGGTATTAGAAAAATAGTGAGGAGATTAGAAATTTTTTTATTTTATATATATTGGGAATTTTTTAAAAAATATTAATGTTTAATTTTTTATATTTTTTTATTTATTTTATTATTTTATATAAAAATAATTTATCAATCCCCTCACTATCAATCCCTTCACTAACAATCCCCTCACTATTAATCCCTTCCATTCTACCTCTAAAAACAAACGGGACCTCAGTCTCTAAATAAGGCCTAAGTGGGTGTGGGTATAATATGCAGAGATGGTAAAATTATTCAATTTGGGCCTATTTTGGAAACTTGGCTTGACTTTTGATCTGTTTTGAGTCACATTAAATCTCAATTTTTTTATACATTTTGTAAAAAAAAAAAACTAAAAAAAAAAATTTAAAAGTCAACTTTTAACGTATTCCTCGAAGCAAGCCTTGATTGTTGTGTCAACCCAATATTAATTAAAAAAACTTAGGAGAACATTGATAAATTAAGATAAAAATATAGTGTGTAGGTAGATCAAAACTGTCAGGATTAGATTAAAGTATAAAATTATATTATTAAAATAATTTAGTTTAAAATCAATAATTCGAGCACATAATCAGAAAAAATTTGACTCATTGTCGTCTTTAGTATCATGTTAGGTAGGTCTCACGCGTATGTTAGTATTTGTTAAATATTTAATAATTTATTTGAAGTCGTTAATTAAAAAATGAATGGTCTTGCTACTGGTCAATAAATAGTCACAAATCAAATTAAGTAAATAAATTTTGTAGTTTATTAATTGAACATAGTCCATGTTGGACGTAACAAACAAATCAAATAATTGATTTGTGTTCGACTAGTTAAAATCTTATTCAAGTTCAATTCGTTAAGTAAATAAGTTAAATTTACAAACATTTTGGAACTTATTAAAGTGTTTAAACCAAAGTTAAATAGTTATTTGTTTGTTCCGCTCGGTTTGATAAGTCTAAAACTATATACAAATACTAAACTACTTGATATTAGCTCAACAAAAGCTCATTTCAAATCAACTTAAAAGTTTAACAAACCAAACTTGAATAAATTTTTCAACTCGTTAAAAATTTCAAATTAAACTTTCAATTAACCATTTGACTTGTTTATCACCTAGAATCCATCACATGATAGCACGTTACATTTAAAATTTACTATAAATGATAGGAGACTCAAATACAGATTTAAATGTGCAAATACTACTTA